TACAACATAGTTAACCCAAACATAAATGATATAATGAATAAATAATTTTGAAAAAATTGTATTTTTGTAAAGATTGTAAAAATGTGACATTTTTGTAAAGTGACACTTGAAAAATCGTATTTTTTGAAATTTGTCAAAAAAGAATGTGTAAATAAGGAAGTTGAAAATGGTTAGGGGAGATTCTTCGAAATTCTTTAGAACAAAACAATTAATCATAGATTCTAAAATGGTTTTGTCATTTTATTTCAATAATTGGAATCAATAGATTGTTTTAAAAATGTTTATGTGAATCACATGCTTTGGTTATGGACCTTACGATTTTTATCTCATCTTTGGTAGTATCTCCAACAGCCTTTTCGTTACAACTACAACAATCTCAACCTTTTCTTGAATCTTGGAGCTTAGCAAGTAACACACATTTTGGTAATCTTGGAACTTAGCAAGCAATAAACATTTTGGTAATCTTGGGTTATTCAATGTTATATATGTTTTTGAATTGTGAGTCTATATATCGTAATTAGTTCTTTATTTAGTTAGATTGGTTTATTGTGCTTGTTATTACAATAAAAGAATCATAAAAGATCATTTGTTTATATATTTTGAGGGTTTTTTTTTAACTGGAAAATTATAGATTTAGATCCATAATATATAGGGTTAATTTGCTCAATAACTAAAAAAAATTAATAATTAAGAAATTCACTAAAATTGATATACAGTATGTGGCAAAATTTTGATATTAGATCTAGGTTAATTGGCTAGAATATTAGTTATGGTTTTTTTTGGGGTTATTGCACACAATTTCTCTTGATACTATTGGGGATGGACAGTAGCTCATTTTGTTTCCCCCCTTTTTCTCATGCTCAATACTAGTTAGTTATTATTTTGTATTTTTCTCTATTTTTGTAAGAAATATTAGTACATGAAACTAAACGAGCGGTCCACAAGGCCCGTTAAGGACAGATTCACTATCATGTTTGATATCGACATTGGGCCCATATGATTACAACCTGTTGTCATGTAAGGCTTAACTTCAGAAACGTACAAAAATCAGTGAAAAAAAGAGAGTAGAATTGATGAGAAGTCAAAAAAACCATACAAAGTTCTTAACCATACTATTTTCACTCCTCAATCTAAAATGAAAAATCCAATCATCACTAAGATATTGTAATCTGTAACAAAAATAACAAACCGGTTTGTTTAGTTTGAATTACGAAACATTATACCAACATAACCCGATTCATGTACAGTCATAATACTCCAACCGGTTATGTTACCGTCGAACAACCCATCCCGAAATCGATCCTGCGAGGGGGAGTTAACATTGTGGCCTATATCTCCAAACATGACCACACAAAAGAAAATATATATATATTTCTTGAAGATATATATTTTTTTTTAAACATGAATCAAAATCATGTGAAACAAAACAAAAATCCAAACTCTTGTCATGAGTAGAGAAGCACACTATACATTTTACAAAACAAATATATGATATCAAGATTGAAACTAGAGGCAAAATCATGAACAATATTGAAATATACGATTATTTCAAATGCTTGCCACTTTGCTCTATAATTCCCTTTGTTAGGCTTTCCACTTTAAGGTCACAAGACTAACTGACTAAGTGCCTTTGTAGAGGATCCATCATCTGTCAACACCCTACAAGCTCCTTCTTTCATCATTTTCATTTTATTCCTCACTCTTTTACCTTCTTCACCTTCCATTAATCCCTTCACAACTCTAGCTACCTCTTCTCTTCTCACCACCCCATCGTCCCCCGCACGAGCCCTAAGCGCTACACTGATATCTTCGGTCAACAAAATCGCATTCATAATTTTGCTCAGCGTACAATGGCCACGCTATGAGTGGAACACCGTTTACTATACTTTCTAGAGTCGAATTCCATCCACAATGATTCAAAAACCCTCCAGTTGACGGATGTGCTAAAACTTCAGCTTGTGGAGCCCAAGAAGGGATCACAAAACCTTTGTCTTTAGTCCGTTCTAAAAAATCGGGTGGTAAAAATGTTAATGGATCGGTATGGCTATGCGAATTGAAAAAGGAAGAATTTGCAGCCCCACTCGGACTTCGTATAACCCAAAGAAACCGTTGCTCACTATCCACAAGACCAAGAGCTAGCTCATTAAGTTGCTCGCATGTGAGTGTACCGCCACTACCAAATGACACATACAAAACCGAATCGCACGGTTGGGTTATCCAACCATTTTAAACACTCAGACGGTTCAACCCGGTTACCTTCTTGATTACCATTGTTAACCAACGGTCCAATCGGACAAACCGGTGGATTATCAAAGCCCGGTTCTTGCAACGCCTTTATAGCATTTGGCTCTAACTCAAAGAAGGTATTAACAAGAATCCCTTCAGCTTCTTTGTACCTCTTGGTGTTGTGTAGAAGCCATTTGTATCAGTCGTTTTTCCGGTCTTGAGCCGGGTCAAGAACATCTTTTCCGGAGACCGGTACACATCCCGGGAGTTTAACCGGTTCGGTTAATTCTCTAAACTCACACGGCACCGTTTCGTCTAGCTTAGGCAAATGGAGAAAAAACGACAAGACGTTGGCTTAATTAATGAGTTATTGAGTAATGATGTTGTAACCTTCCAGAGTTCGTGTGTGTATCATTAGGATCTTGTAACCTTTTACTAGAGGTTAACCCGCACTACTCGCGATTGTGTTTTTAATTTTTGCTTTAAGACTAAAAATAATTATGGTTAAAATGGGGTTTATCTAATTTGGTAGTTGACTTATAGGCATATATATAACAATGTTTTTTTTCATGTGTCTTGTTTAGGTTAAGATTAAATCTTGTTTTTTTTTTTTCACTTTGACTTAAGATTTGTAATAACTAGAAACTGTAATTTGTGGTTAGGAGTAAATTAGGACAAAAACTCAATTTACAAATGCTTCTAGTCATCCAATAAACATATAAAGTTCGTAGTCAAACTATTTCATTCCATAAAAGATTACCAACATAAAATCATCTGGACATAGAATCACAAACCTGTTTGATACTGAGAAAAGAAGGAAGAAATATTACAAACCTTATACCAACATAACCCGGTTGGTATACAGTCATAAAACCCCCAAACCGGGTATTGTAGCTTGCCCAACAAGTTTCATCGTTGTTGTTGCCTTTTCTCTAGCTATAAATCTTTTAAGTAGCTTCCC